TGTTTGTTTTGGTTCAAACAGAATCGCTGATTCCAGTTCTCAAATACAGTGGACCAATTAATTTTTCAAGTAAACGTCGCGAGGTTATAACATCCTCTCAGCTGATCGAGTGTTAGTTTGGTACAACGCGTTGATTGCAGCGTATACAACGTTGCCAAGTTGTAATAATTTTACCAACTACGCGTCGACTGCTTTAAAAATATTTTTATTTTAAAAATCTATATCTTTTTACTAAGACGGTCAAAAAATTCAGCGTTTCTTTAGAAAATTTTATACCTTCTTGATTTACATTACATTAGTTTTTAAAAAATATGGTGAGAACAGTTTTCGAGATATCTGGAAATAAATGCATTACTTGTGTACATGAGAGGCTTCAAGAGTGTTAATTATGCACATTTTGATTGTTAATATCTCGTTTCACAGTCGGTCAAAAAATTTAATTTTTTTTTATTTACATAAAAGACACTTTCATTAACCTTATATTTCAATTTTATTGAATTTTTAAGAAAAGCCGTTTTACGAGTGAACTACCTTAAAAATGTCATGTCGATTGGTAAATAGGAATTTTTCAACCCTTTAAAAGATATTTTTGGTATGCCTATGATGCCACAAAACAATGGAGACCCAGTTTTTAAGAAAAGTTATTTTCTTTTTCTGAAAAATTACTTAAATCCGTCAACTCTTCCTTGAGTTAACGTGCTTAATGTCATACATACATAAACACCCACATAGATGCACATACATCAGACTCTTTAAAAATATGTTTTTTTTTGTACTTAGGAGACTCTCCCGGAAAAATGCGTTTCATTTTCAAAATCTCCCGGCTATAATTAATGAAATTGAGTGGGTTGAATTAAAAGAGTTCTTTTCTCAACGTGAAGTTATTGCGAGTAAATAAATAACCAAAGTAGGCGCGTTTGGGTTAATTTTTTTGAAAAATGTGTGGATGAATCAGGCAAAGAAATAAAAAAATTAATTATTTCGCTCTACCTATGCCAAGCGTGTTTATTGAACTGGTCAAAAAGTCATAATCGTCTTAATGCAACTCATGTCAAATCTGAAATAAAAGTGTGCATAAATGTAAAGAGTTTTAGGATTATATCGATAATGAAAAAGTATTTCCAGCTGCTTGCGGTGTAAAAAATACAACTTTACAAAAGAAATATCGGGTCAAAAATATTGTAAAATTTTATACTTAAGGAGGTCCTTACGCTATCAATGTTAAATAAAAAATCTGATGTGTCCAACACATGAGTTTCCTATCTAGTTATTATAGGCTTTTTCCGGTTATTTTGTACAACCTATTGCAGCACCTCTATAAATATTTAGAGGATAAACTAAATATATACATTTTCCATATACATCTACCTCTAAACATTTTTCTATAGATATTCATTGAAAACGAAAATACTGAAAAATTTAAATTTAGCACTCTTTCTCCAATTTTTCCATTACGGTTCATTTTCGAAAAATCATGTAAAAACAAAAATTATAGAGATCAATATCGCAAACAACTTTTAGTTTAACAATTTTCTTAAAAATCAGAATTTTGCACATTTTGTCAAATTTCTCGAATACGGACCATTTCAGGAAAATTTGACATAAAACAAAAATTATAGATAATAATATTAGAAGTAACTTTTAATTGAACAATTTTCTTCTCCAAACATAAATAACAGATATATTCCATAAAATATAAAAACGGCCTCCCATAAAGTACCCCCCAGATGTTCCGACTTTGTCCAAAATCTAATTATTTCACGTCAGGCCGAAATAAACCTTAAGTTTAAAATTTAATGTTTTTTTCTTTATCCGTTTTTGAGTTTTCTTCAAAATTCGAAATTTACACATTTTCTCAAATATCTCGAATACGGTCCATTTTAGAGAAATTATGTATAGAAAAAAAAATATAGAGAATTATATTACAAACAACTTTAATTTGAACAATTTTTATAAAAAATTATTTGTTTTACATTTTGTCAAATTTCTCGAATACGGAGACCATTTTAGAAAAATTTTGCATAAAACAAAAATTATAGATAATTAGAAGTAACTTTTATTTGAAGAATTTTCTTCTCCAAACGTAAATAACAGATATATTCCATAAAATATAAAACTGACCACCTATAAAGTACCCCCCCAGATGTTCCGACTCTGTCCAAAATCTAATCAGCTCATTGGACGCTGAAACAAAGCTTAAGTTTAAAATTTGGTGTTTTTCTGTGTATCGGTTCATGAGTTATGCGTTATACAGACACACACACACACACACACACACACACAGACATCATCACGAAAATAGTCAAAACGGATTCAGGGGACCTCAAAACGTAAAAATCCGTCGAAAACTCGAGGTCGAAAAAATCATGATTCCTATACTTTCCTTATATCTGTATACAGATAGGAAAGTATATATCTCATTATGATAAATAAATAATTAGATAGTACTTTAATAAGCAGATATTTTTCATTTATTGTGATATTTTCAATTATAAAATAAAAAAATTTGGTAAAACTAAATAAATTAATAAATATAAAAAACATAATTGCGTTAAAGTTTACATTTAATGTATTCAATGGTCTGAAATTCGCGCGCTACGCAACGTTGTCAAATGATTTGACTCCATTTTAAGCTAGGTTACTTGAACATTTTTTGTGATTTTTTAATATTAATTTTATAATATTAATTTTTCAATAAATTCCACGGTAACCTATATATTTTATTGTAAAAAAACAAAACCTAAATATTTCAAAAACATTATTTTTAGTTTTTTTCTACTCCATCTTATCAATAAATAATAGTATAATTCGAGAATTGTTGTTGAGGTCTGACTTTCTCGTAAGACACTGTACAAATACTCACATTTTTTAAAATTTTTTTCTTAAAAATTTGCACAGTAAGGTATAGTTAAAAGTTCACTATTAGATAAATAAGGACTTCAACTATTAGAAAATAAAAAATAATTTTAGTCATAATCTAATATTTTTTATTTAACATTGGTGGCGAAAAGACCTACTTAAGAATAATTTTTAGTCATTGCAATTATTTGTTACACTTTACTATGTTTTGTTTTTCTTTTCTCCCGGATTTCTGATTCAACCCTAATGACATGCTGGCTAGATTATTATTCAGGAATAAACAGGTTGATAACGATTTTGACGAATCAGGTGATGTAAATCGATTTAAATCTTAAAAAAGATTTAAATAAAAAAAAAGATTTAAATCGTTTTACAATGATTTAAATCGTTTTAAAAAGATTTAAATCGTTTTAAAATGATTTAAATCGTTTTAAAATGATTTAAATCGTTTTAAAAAGATTTAAATAATTTTGAAAAGATTTAAATCGTTTTAAAAAGATTTAAATCTAATTTTTGAATAAAAAATCAGATACTTTTCAGAAAGATTTAAATCATAAATCAAAAAATGTATTTAAATCAATAAATGATTTAAATCTCACTGATAGGTGACAGCTCTGGAGTAGTGTGTGGATTATCTAAGTAAGAGGAAACAAAAGTTAAAAGTAAACAACATTTTGTCAGAGGAAATTAACTATATCAGAGGTGTTTCGAAGGGAAGCATATTGGGTCCCCTGTTGTTTTTAGTATATATCAATGAAATTGTTGATTTCAAGAGTCAATGTGACATTCACCTGTTTGCTGATGATACCCTAATACATTTTTCTTGTAAGGATTCAGATAACTTGGTAAGAGTTGTTAATTAAACACTGCAACACGTTTATAAATGGTGTTGCAATAATTTGTTGAAAATTAACACAAATAAAACAAAATGTATGCTGATAAGTAGTAACTATAACTATACACAGTTTGTTGATAAACAATAACATAAGATTTGGAGGAAATTCTATACAGTTAGTAGAAAAATTCAAATATTTAGGGGAAATGATGAGTTTCATAGATCATACCAACAATGTTATCAAAACTATTGCATTTAAGTTAAATTTCCTATTTAGAAGTTAATTTGGCTTATCACAGTGGACTAAATGTATTATATATAATACTATAATTCTACCTCACTTTAATTATTGCTCTACAATACTCTTTTTACTAAATCAAAATTTCAGATTTCTTAATTGATGAATATTTCTCCAGAAACAGTAACAACCTATAGAATTTTAGTTAGTTTTAATTGTATCTAAATTATCTATGAATATTTTTATTAAATTTGTATATTGTGATATTAGCAAACTAGCTAAATAAAGGAAATAAAAAACTTGGGTCACTATCTTCAGATACTTTATCGTGCTGACTTAAAACAAGTTTTGGAGTAGAATCCTGACTTTCTGATCGATTTAGAGGCTTTGGCACAGGCAGTTCGACACTATGTAGGATGGGTTTGTTGGCCAAAGACAAGTTTGGATACTGGATAGTGTGTTTGGACTTGGTTGTAATGCCTTTTGTTTGTGTCAAACAAAAATAACAATCACTAACATGATCCTTTGGTTCAGTTCAAATCATTGTTATAGCAAATGGCGTATGTCTGGGATCTTGTTTAGCCCAACCTAATAGCAGTCTCACACATGTTACACATTTACGTGGAACCCAGGATTTATCTTGATTCCTCACAGAAAATTCAAAATAGTCTAAATAGCACTGTTCAATTAATGATGTGAAATTTTGATGCTGAGATATAAAAGTTAATTCTCCACACACATAACAAAACTTGTCGGGGTTTTGAGAACACTTTCATGGCATGTTTAGTATGTAACAAATGTATATAAGATGTAAGTTAGTTGAATGTAATGGTTATACAGTCGTCCAAATAAAGTTATTTAAAAAAAGACCCCTATATGAGGTCAGAAATGAATATGTAGCTATCACAAAAAAACTGGATGTGATTGAAACAAAATTATTATATATTATTAATGAGAGTACACAAACATGAACAAAAATCATCACAAAGTTCGTATGACAAAAAGTGTTTACCAGTGTAATTATTTGTCATCCAAATTCAAAAATATAAACACAAAACACTCTTTTACCTGGAAATGTCTTTTACAGGACCATGAAAATTATGACCATTATTACAAGACATATTTTTTTCTATAGAATGTTTTGACTCCGTACCATTAGTTAATTCGATTAAAGGTTTACTTTTACGGTTTTCAATATCAAAATTACTTAAATCACAGTTGGATATTTGACCTTCTTGATGAACTTTCTTATAAGGCGGATTAAACTTTTCCTCCAAATCCTTCCTCTTTTTTAAAAGATTTACTTCATTTTCCAAATTATCTGTACTTGACATTGCATTTATTTCTGTTGATTTATCTTCTTGTAATCCACTTTTGTTAACATTTTTTGTTAAAATATTAGTAGAAATTTTAGATACCTGTTTTTTAAAAAAGAACTTTGTTATCGTTGAATTATTTTTAGACATTTCTTTGGCAATCTGATAAAAGTTTTTGATTCTGAAATGCCTTTGTTGACTTATGCCACATTATTGTCTTTTACCCTTTTCCCGCCATTTTAAAATATGTCAATTTATATATTCTTCTTTTCCATAAAGAAGAATTCTTTTTCTTAGTTATATGGCCTCTTACCATGCTGTTTTATCTACTCAAATTATAAAGAATATATTTACAAATAGAAAATTTAATAGAAGGCATTTAAAAATAAATATTATTTTACTTTATTCTGATAACTGTGAATATTTCCTAATAGACATAGAATATAGTTTTAAATATGCAGATCTATGCCTAGAATGGAAATAATCAGAATAACTAAATATTTACTACTATTATATGAAATACATAAATACCTCCACTAGTGTCAGGCGAAAGTTTAACTTTTCCTTGATCCAAAACGTCATTAAATGCGGGCCAACCACAACTACTGTCATATTTGGTATCAGAGCTAAATAAAGGTTGTTCGCAAACTATACAAACATATAAACCTTTATCATGCATTTTATTGTAACAACCTGAAAAGCGATAAAATTATCACAGCTTGTATAATTTTAAAATGTGTTTATTAAGTCCATTTAAATTTAATTTTTATTATTATATACATACCACTAAAAGGACGTTCAGTTCCCTTTTCCTGGGTAACATGATATTGAAGAGGAGTAAGCCTTTTTTTTAATTCTTCTTTATCAATTTTTACTTCTTTAGCCATGTTAATAGCTAAAATTGTTTCAAACTATGTCAAGAACATCATTTAATTGAACTACAACAACAAAGTTATTTTTGCCTCACCTCCAATATGTATATTTAATTTATTATGGTTGATTAAATTCAAACAATTGCTTCTATTCTTTTGTATATTACGTAATAGTAATTTTATCATCACATTCATTAGGCGATTTTATCACAAAATTTGAGAGTTTTCTAGAACAATTTTATTTGTCTTGATACCAATATTTTTGCAATGATACATCCAGCACTCACTTTGGTTATGGGACTAAAAAGAACCAATTAGAACGGGAGACGTCACGACTGTGGGCGGGATCGATTGACAATTAACACGTAGCAGTTAGATTTTTTAACCTAACATTTTTGTTTGTGCCAGTTTTTGTTTTGGTTTTACTCACGGCCAAATATTTACAGTAATAATCCTTCCTCCATGATTTACAGTTATAGTGTGTGTACATACAATCCATGTACAATCGTGGTTTTGATGTTTGCTTTTACCATAGTTGCTTACCGAAATAATGGATATCGCGCCACTACCCTCTTTGAATGATGAATTTAATGTAAGTACAACATTTTTGTACCTTGTTTCTCTAAGACGAAAATTAAGCCTTTCAAGTAAAAGTTCATATTTGTTTTCTTTTGTATAACTACTAATTAAATATTTTTGCTGAGAAAATTGGTACCTACATGTATGTTCATAAACATAAAGTACAAACAAACTGCTAGGATTTTTGTGTAATTAAATCTTTATTTTTCAGTCAGTTTTTCCACCTGGTTGGGGAACAACAATTATTGGTAAAAAAATAGTAGAGGGTGAAGATAAGTTCCCGAATGTAGAATTGCATTTTTTCATCAATTGCACCAATGAAGAGGAGTTTGGAAAGTGGTTGATGGAGTTTGAAAATTCAACAAGTTCATCATACGTTATCGCCTGTACAGACGTTGAGAATGGAGCTAAATTGAAACTGAAAAGAAGACTAAGGTAATAAAGGTTTTATTATTAATAAAACCTTTGGAAAACACAGATTTTACAGGTTTCAAAAATTAGGTAGTAAATTAATGTAATAAATATCACATTTGTTTATGCTCTTATTTATAATGTAGGTTATATTATTTGTTACATGTAGGTTTATTACAGTTTATTATTATGTTACCTGGAAAATTTAATTTTAGGTGTCATCATTCTACACGGTGCACTAAAACCTACAACCCGTCCTTAAAAAACAAAACTAGAAACACCAATTGTCCTTCGAAAATAACTGTAAAGATACATGTTATTAGAAAAAAGTATAGGGGCAAGAAAGAAAATTTCCAACTCATACAAGAGGCGCCTTGTGAGGTTAAACTTATTTTAACACACAACCATATGACCAATACTGCAGATTCTTTACGGTTTCGTAAAGTTTCTAAGAATGTAAGAGAAGAGTTACTAAGTCTTTATAAGAATGGCCATACAGCAGGAACAGCTTTGGAGATGATTAAATGTAACATTCAGCTTACCAGGGATGATTATGTGACAGCTTTGGCAGACCGTAATATATGTCCAACCTATAAATACTGTTATGATCTATATATGAAAGAGTTTAAAGAAAATTATGGACCTATGAAATTTGATACAGAGGCGAAAATGTTTTTAGAAAATAATCTTACACTGTACAATGCTGAAAAAAGAGAAACAATAACAAACATTCTAGAAATGTTTATGGTATGTTATAAACTTAATTAAATGGGTTTGGTTCGGTTTTGGTATTTTATTTGGTGGTTATAATATGTATTTTTTTATTTATCGTTTGTATGTTTAGAAATAATTTAACTTGACAGCAGATATTGTTGAAATTGTATTAGTTCAATTTAATGAACTAGGTATACTATAATTTAACCTTCCTATTTAGATTTGTAAAATATACCACTAATTAATTATTTTTTGTGTCCCAATTCAATTTATAAATTGGCAACACAAATAATTGAAATTAAATTTGTATAGATTTCTTTAAGGATGTGCACAACTTTATTTTCTAAAGCTTTTGTTAAATTATTTCATTGACTAGAATTATAATCATTTTTAGGAAGTAGCCAAAATCGAAGAGGACGAAAAATTCCTATACAAAGTACTGCTGTAGCTAGAAGAAAAATTAAGAAAAAATCATCAAGACAACTAAAACGATTACGTAATAATACATATGATACAAGTAGATGCGTAATGCCTACTAAATAAAAAATGTTATTAGTTAAATAAACTATTTTTTTAAATTAAACTGCTTATTTTTAAAATTCCTAATGAAATATTTAAATTTAAAAACCGTTTAGGTAATGTAGCTGTAGCATAAAAAGTAATTATCGTAAATGAGGAGTTGGCGGGAAAAACGATCAAATTCGGGGTGGATGGTGCCATCTAAAGATTTTTGTATATAATATATGCCTGGTAAACAGTTGCTGCAAAACGATTAAGATCTCTATAATACACCTAACAGTTATTTATGCAACTAGTGCGAAAAGCACTCTTTTCACACTGTTACATACAATATTTTTCGTAAAATAAATGATAGTAAAATTCTAAAACAAAAGTATTTTCCTTTACACCTTGTAGAAATACCGGCAGTTTTGTTGGAAATTTCCTGTCATAACCGCATCGAATTTTTGTTTTTAATTGTTTGAATTGTCAAGATGATCATTTGTTGGTAATTTTTAGGTGAATTTGTTCGTTGAAAGCTTATTAAACGTAATCAAACGCTTTTAAAATCTGATTTTTATTTTTAGAAAAATGCCTTTAAAAGTGTAGTAATTATTCATCTAATTTAGTTATGTCAAATATTAGTAATTGTGTAATTAATATTTATAATAAATTTTGTGTATTATTTGCGCTTCCTATGAGACAACGCTCGGAAGTAAAAAAAAAACGATTTTCTCAGTTTCAGCATAGGCACACCTTCATCGTTTTCCTCGCCACCTCCCCAGTTACTTTCAAAACGAGCGCGCTTTTATGCCCCGCCTATAATTTGGCGTTCGCGCGCTGTTATTGGCTCTTCCACGTCTCATAGCGGAACTGTGGGCTCGATGTAGTATTGCAATATTTTTGTGTTGACTTTAACCAGCTGACAATCGTCATCGTGACTGGGCGAATGTTCGCGGCACAGAAGTTCGCGGTGATCGGTAATCGCGAATCGGTACACGTTACGTCATTACGTTGTCGCTGGGCCTGGGCAACGTCGCATCCGATCATCACACGATATATAGGCCAGTCCTTCCTCCATGGGCCAGTCATTAAACATATCAATTCACATTAATTACGAAAGTTTTCAAACTTAGAATATTTATTTATTTATTAAATTGAAATAATTGTAAATTTAATTTTGCAACTTTTCCGGAACATATAATAATTCCAAAAAATCTGATGTGTCCAACACATGACTTTCCTATCTAGTTATTACAGGCTTTTTCAGGTTATTTTGTACAACCTATTGCAGCATCTCTATAAATGTTTAGAGGATAAACTAAATATATACATTGTCCACATACATCTCCCGCGAAACATTTTTCTATAGATATTCATTGAAAATGAAAATACTGAAAAATTTAAATTTAGCACTTTTCCTACAATTTTTCCATTACGGTCCATTTTAAAAAAATCATGTATGAACAAATATTATAGAGATCGATATCGCAAACAACTTTTATTTCAACAATTTTCATAAAAATCAGAATTTTGCACGTTTTGTCAAATTTTTCGAATACGGACCATTTCAGGAAATTTTTACATAAAACAAAAATTATAGATAATAATATTAGAAGTAACTTTTATTTGAACAATTTTTTCTCCAAACATAAATAACAGATATATTCCATAAAATATAAAAATGGCCTCCCATAAAGTACCCCCCCAGATGTTCCGACTTTGTCCAAAATCTAACCATTTCACGTCAGGCCGAAATAAAACTTAAGTTTAAAATTTAATGTTTTTTTCTTTATCCGTTTTTGAGTTTTCTTCAAATTTCGAAATTTACACATTTTCTCAAATATCTCGAATACGGTCCATTTTAGAGAAATTATTTATAGGATAAAAATTATAGAGGATTATATTACAAACAACTTTTGTTTGAACAATTTTTATAAAAAAAAAATATTTTTTTACATTTTGTCAAATTTCGCGAATACGGACCATTTTAGAAAAATTTTGTAAATAACAAAAATTATAGATAATAAAATAAGAAGTAACTTTCATTTGAAGAATTTTCTTTCCCAAACGTAAATAACAGATATATTCCATAAAATATAAAAATGACCACCTATAAAGTACCCCCCCAGATGTTTCGACTCTGCCCAAAATCTAATCAGCTCATTAGACGCTGGAACAAAGCTTAAGTTTGAAATTTGGTGTTTTTCCGTGTATCGGTTCATGAGTTATGCGTTATACACACACACACACACGCACACACACACACACACACACACACACACACACACACACACACACACACACACACACACACGCACGCACGCACGCACGCACACACACACACACGCACGCACGCACGCACGCACGCACGCACGCACGCACGCACGCACGCACGCACGCACACACACACACACACACACACACACACACACACACACACACACACATCATCGCGAAAATAGTCAAAACGGATTCAGGGGACCTCAAAACGTAAAAATCCAGGAAAGTAAAAATTAAAATTTATTATAACTTTCTTAAAAAAATTGCAAAAGTACCACAAACTTGAAGCAATGTATATTGCATAATACCTATATTATTTTCAACCTATCAGATTTGCAACTTTTATGAAAGTCCGAAACATGATTTTTTTTTGTAAAATAGTGTTTTTGTTTATATCCCCAGACAACACACCAAATCCCAGAGATATCCACAGAATATCTTTTGTGGATATCCAATATATCCACAGGATATCAGAAATATTTCGTGGATCTAATATGGATATCCAAATGTCCGTCTATATCCAGAATATAGAAGATATCATATATGGATATCCAGCAAAATATCTAACGAGTATCTTCCAGACAATACAAAAAATCCCAGAGATATCCACAGAATATATTCTGTGAATATCCAATATGGATATCCAACCAAAAATGTCCGTCTATATCCCAGGATATAGAAGAATTCGGATATTCAGCAAAATATTTTATAGGTATCTTTTAGTAGAGGTTCATAAGTAACCAATGATTATTGAATGAAGTCGAAAGGAAATAGCAGAGATAAAAAATATTTTCAA